GGAGGTGTGAGGGTCCTGCCCGCGGGCCGGCTTGCCCATGCGGGACAGTGACTGCATGTCTTTCTGTCCCGGCCAGGGGCGCGCGCGAGTGGGCTGAGCACAACCCCCGGCTGGAGGAGCCGCAGGTGCGCGCGTGGCAGGGCCCGGTGGATGCGGGCACGGCGGCCCGGGAGCACACGCGGTGGCCAGGTACTGTGAGGGCGGGTGGGCCCACGGGTGTGTGGGGCGCCCGGGCTGGCGGCAGGTGACGGCCGTGTTCCCCGCAGGCGCGGAGCGGGGGCTGGTGGGGCCCTCGGGGCCAGGGCACGTGGTGGCAAGTCGGGGCGGCGTGGCCGGGTAAGGAGCGGACCACACCCCTCCCTGCAGCGGGTGGGTTGGGGTGGGGGGGAGGGGGCTCCTTGCCATCCCCACATCCCCACCATCGACCGCTGCCGGCTGGGCCGGGCTGGGACCGAGCATATGTTCTGCTCCTAGGCGCGGTGGCTTCGTGCACGGCGGACACCCACAGGGCCACGTGGTTCCCGGGGCTGGCCTGGAAGGTGGTGGCGTGGCCGGCCAGGACCGGGGCGGCCGAGTCCCACCCCCCCATCCTCACCCGTACCCCCACTTCACCCGCCGTTACTAACCCTGCAGCACATGCCTGGGGAGGCCGGGCGCTGCTCTGGGCGGTGCAGCCTTGACCTGGGGCGTCTTTTAAATAAGCCGATCCTGCCGTGTGTAGCGCAACACAATGTGAACTTACTGTTCTGTTTATTTTTAATAAACGTGTTCTTGTTCTGCTGTTTTTAAGACGAGGTTTCCGCTCATGACTCGCTCTGCCTAGACATTAGTCAAGTGCAGCCGCCAGCCCCGGCCCTGCGCCTGCTGCCCCCGTCTTTCCCCAGAGCCGCCCCAGACCTGGGTGTCTGCCCACCTGGCAGCGGAGCAAGTGGGGCCCACGCGAGTCGCAGGACGCCGGGCACCTCGCCCCAGACGCCCTTCAGACTCACACTGCAGACGGATGAGAAAAACAATGAAGGGGCTGGGAAGGTGGCTCGGTGGTAGAGCGCTTGCCTCGCATGCATGAGGCCCTGGGTTCGATTCCTCAGCACCACGTAAGCAGAAAAAGCCGGACTTGGCACTGTGGCTCAAGTAGTAGAGCACTCACCTTGAGCTGAAGAGCTGAGGGACAGCGCCCAGGCCCAGAGTTCAAGCCCCACGACTGACAAAAAAAATGAAGGCCCAACAAAGCCTCAGCAGCGCCTCGCACGCACTCCTCTGTCAGGTCCTGAAGCCACAGAGTAGCAACCCCACAAAGAGCACTGTAAATGGGGGTTGGTGGGGAGCACTGCTGGTGGGAGGAGCCCTGCTGCCCGTCACCCCCTTCCCCCCCTCCAGAGGCCTGCTCTGCTGCTGAACGAGCTACAGAGATGAAGGGCGGCAGCAGGCACAGTGAAAGCAGGCCACGGAAGCCATTCGAGGCCCCACCCCCTCGCCGGGCCAGGCAGGCCCCCTCCAACTCCAGGACTGGAAGGAAACTCCTCCACAGGGGGCGCTTGGGGTTGGTGTCGTGCTTGAGCTCGGCTGTTTCGCTCAAGGCTGGCACCCACAGCGCACTGCGGCTTTCTGCTGCTTAGTGGCCTACAAGGGTATCTTGGGTTTGTCTGGCTGTGCACCTTGCTCGTCAGAGCTCAGCCTCCAGGGTAGCTAGAGTCCCAGGAAGGAGCTGCCTGCCCCGCAGGAGGGGCTTGCTCAGGGCACTCCGCCCTGTGGCCGGGAAGTGCTGGCCGCCGCAGACACTGGTGTCACAGCTCAGCCCCAGCATGGTGGAGGTGACGTGGAGGTGCCCACCCTCCCAGGGCCTTGGCAGCAACGATGGAGTTTACTCAACTGCAGGCTGGCTTTGGCTCTCAGGATGGGTTCTCCAAGTTCTCATCGCCCCTGACCCCGCTGCTTCTGGCTGACACTTGTGAGCCCGGGTCGCCAAGGCTGGCATGGTACTACCAGCCCGGGGGATGGGTGGGGGCTGGAGGCATGGCTTGGTAGAGTGCCTGCCTCTGCCTCTGCCTCCTGCAAGCCTGGGGCACAGGCAGAATCCCCCTCGCCTGGCTTCTTGATTGAGAGGGAGGCCTCACTTCTTTCCCAAGCTGGCCTGGAACCATGATCCGGTTGATCTCTGCCTCCCAAGTAGGTGGGATTTCAGGCTTGAGCGCTGCACCTCAGCCTGTAGGGCTGATCTTTGTAAAGAGTTGTTAAACCAACTAAAAATCTTTCACTGGGGCCTGGTGTTCAGGAAGTACTTAATGTTGAGAGCTTTGGGCAGGACTATGGGAATGCTAATGCTGGGACCCGGGAGGGGGCGCAGGGGGGGGGCGCGGGTGGTGGCTCCACAGGGAAGAGTCTGGCTCAAAGCTATCCCAAGTAAGAAAGTCCATGAGGCTCTTACCTCCAATGAACTACCCCAAAAAGCCAGAAGTGGAGCTGTGGCTCAAATGGTAGAGTGCTAGCCTTGAGCAGAAAAGCTGAGGGATGATGCCCAGGCCCCAACATCAATGCTGGCACACACACACACACACACACACAAAAGAGCACCTGGCAAAATCAGATAAATGGTGTCCTCCACAATGTTTTCCACTTGCATCAAGTGCACGCACGTCTGCCCTCCCTGCGTCCTGTCACACCGCCCGTCCACCTGCAGCCGCCCCGGCTCAGGCCCACAGCTGGGCTCCTCCTAGACTGGGGAATCCCAGGCATTCATTTTAAATAAAGCCCAAGGCCCAGCGCTGGTGCTGGTCATCCTAGCTACTTAGGAAGCTGAGATCTGATCATCACAGTTCAAAGCCAGCTGGGGCAGGAAAGTGTGAGACTTTTATCTCTGGTGAACTACCAGAAAACCCTAAGTGGAGCCATGGCTGAAAGTGGTAGTGTTAGCCTTGAGCAAAAGAGCCCTGGGATAGCACCCAGGCCCTGAGTTCAAGCCCCACGATTGACCTGAGTTCAAGCACCCAGGCCCTGAGCTCAAGCCCCACAATTGACAAGTAAATAAAGCCTAAGTTAACACAATAAGTGATTGCTATAGTTGTCTTGTAACAGGTTGGGGGGGGGGGATGGTTCTGTCACTGCCTAAGGCCCTGGGCCCTGGGACAAGCTTCCTGGGGGCTCCTTTGTCCCCTCCCAGGAATGTCCAGAGCGCACACATTTCAGCTTGTCCCCTTCCTGCTGTGATACTACCCGGGTGTCAAAAGTTTTCAATCAAGAGCTGGGCACCGGTGGCTCACGCCTGTAATCCTAGCTACTCAGGAGGCTGTGACCTGAGGATTCCTGTGTGAAGCCAGCCCAGGCAGGAAAATACTAAGACTCCTCTCTAATTCAGCAAAAGCCAGAAGTGGAGGTGTGGCTTTGAGCAAAAAATAAAAAAGCTCAGGTGCAGCACCCAGACATGAGTTCAAGCCCCAGCATAGGGGGAAAAAATGGAGAGTCTCCGGAAGTGGAGCTTGTGGGAGACAGAGAAAAGGTAGAGAGGGGCAGGGGGTGGGAGAGAGATTTCCTGCCTGTAATCCCAGCACTCAGGAGGCAGAGGCAGTAGGACCTTAGGCCTTAAAACTGGTTTGGGCTAAGAGGAGGAGGAGCAGAGACCCAGGCCTAAAATGACCGCTGTTCCCTGGGTGGCCACGGCGTGGCGCCTGAGCGCCGTCTGTGCCCGGCCTGGTCCGACTCCATCTCTGCCCAGGGTTCCCCTTGGCTGGCTAGAGGAGTGGCAGGTACTGAGGCTAGCCTGGGACTTCTGCTGGGATGAGAGTCTGGGGAAACCCTCTACCCCCCCCTAGGCTGCGTGTGGGGGTCTGTTGTGCACTAAGAGCTTGTCTGTCTCTGCTTTCTGGTGGTTAGTTGGAGATAGGAGTCTCACGGAGCCGGGCGCCGGTGGCTCACGCCTGTCATCCTAGCTACTCAGGAGGCTGAGATCTAAGAACTGCGGTTCAAAGCCAGCCCGGGAAGAAAAGTGCGTGAGACTCTTATTTCCAATGAACCACAAGAAAACAGGAAGTGGCGCTGTGGCTCAAGTGGTAGAGCACTTCCTGACAAACTGAGGGACAGCGCCCAGGCCCAGAGTTCAAGCCCTAGGACCGACAACAACAACAAACAGTCTCAGACTTTCCTCCCTCCAAACTAGGATTAGCTAGAATCACAGGTGTGAGCCACCAGTACGCGGCCATACCTGGGTTTTAATTGCACAGTGGGATGTCCAAGACTGAGAGGCACCCTGACAACAGAACTCGACGTTCCTGTCCAGGCGGGACGGCCACACCATGGAAGGCTTTGGGGATAATTGTGACCAGAGGAGGTGGCCTGGCCCTAGAGAGCTGGCTTAAGTGTGTGTGGGGGGGGCAGGCACAGATCCAGGGTCCACCCTCCCCGGTGCACCCGCACGCTCCCCGGCTCCTGCGGGCCTTGGTGTGTCTCTTCTTCCCCCACCCTGCAAGGCGCGGGCTGTATGAGTGGCTGGGGAGCCGACAGGTGCCTCCTCGGTGGGAACTCTGAGCTCCTGCTCAAACGTCAAAGCCCCAGCTCTGGCAACAAAAGAATTGGGGCGATATTGTGTCACACCCCTGTTTTGCTCTGGGCCCTCGCGACTAGACCACAGGAAGAGGAGCCGAGTGTCCCCCAAGTCCCCTCAGGGCCCCCTTGCTCTGCTCCGACTTCAGGCAGGCCCTCTCCCTTCCCACCTCGCGGGCCTGTTCTCCCTCGCCCTTCCCGGCTCCTCCTCCAGGTCTGGGGCTAAAGGCCACCACCTTCCCTGGGCCTGGGTCTCCCGCCCACCCCGTCGCGTCCCGCCCTCCCGCCTGGGACCCCAGGCCCTTTGCGCGGGATCGGGGTTATCTCGGCGCGGCTTGCGCGGGGCGGGGCGGGCGGAGGCGGCGGCCGGGCCGGTCTAGCGGGTGAGGGTGAGGCCGGGGCCGGGGCCGGGCCGGGACGCAGGCCGGGGCCTGGGACGAGGCGGCGGCCGGGGCCCGGTGGGCGCCATGGACGGGCTGCGGCGCTGGCGCTGGCGGCGCCTGCGCATCGCGGTGCACCTGGCGGACGAGGCGCTGCTGCTGCCGCTGGCCGTGCGGCCCGGGGACACCGTGAGCGACGTGCGCGCGCGCCTGGTGCGGCGCGGGGTCGGGTCCTGGGGGCGGACCTTCTACTACAACGCGCATGCGCTGCGCGACCACCAGACGCTGCGCGACGCCCGCCTGCCGGACGGCGCGGTGCTGCTGCTGGCGCGAGGCCCGGTGCGGCGCGGCGCGGCCGGGGGGGGGGGGGGGGGGGGGGGACATGACATGGGGGGGACGGGGGCGGGGGAGGGGGCGGGGCGGGGGGAGGGGCGGGGGAGGGGCGGGGGAGGGGCGGGGGAGGGGCGGGGGGCGGGGGGGACGGGGAGGGGGGCGGGGCTGGGGAAGGGGAGGGGGCGGGGGCGGGGCCGCCTCCCGCGTCCGTTTCTTGTTTCCTACGTCTGTTTCCTGAGTCTTTCCTGTTTCTTGCATCCGTGTCCTGTCTGTCCCCGGTCTTTGCACGTTTCCTGGGAATCCTTCCTGAGTTGTTTCCGGTCTATTTCCGGTGTCTGTGTCCTGCTTCCGGTTTCCCACGCCCCCCCCGGCCCCGCCCCCTTGCTCTGGCCCGAGCTGGAGAGGGCGGGGCCATGCCGGGGAAGGGCGGGGCTTGTGTGGGGAAAGGCGGGCAGGCATTGGCTGGGGCGGGGGCGGGGCAGGCTAATGCTCCACCCTCCCGGGAGCCCCGCCCTTCCCCTAAGAGCAGCCTCTCCAGTACCTGACACCCAGGGCCTTGGGGGACCGGGAGGCACGGACGGCCTCGCTGGAGGCCCCCGCTGTCCGTGGACCTCCACTGGCTGCTGTGTGACCCCGGGAGCTGGCCTCTCCTCCCTGCGCTCGGCCCCGCCTCCCCCTTGATTGGCAGCCGGCTTCGGCGCTCGGCCCCGCCTCCCCCCTTGATTGGCAGCCGGCTTCGGCGCGCGCCGCGCCTGCAGTTCCGAGGCCGGCCGCCAGGGGCGCCCGGCTCCGGGCCTCGGGGGAGGCGGGACTGAGCCGGCCTCTTCCCGCTTGCCGGGCCAGGGTCCGGGCCCCCAGGTGGAGCCGCCGGCGGACGCGGACGCGGGGCCCCGGGGAGGAGCCGAGAGTCGTCGGGCCGAGCTGTGTGACTCGGGGCCGGGGGGCCCCCGTCTGCCGCGGGACCCGCCGGTGAGGAGAGCCGCCGCCCGCAGGCGGGGCGGGGCCGGGAGCCCGGGAGCGGGACGCGCCCGCCCTCACCGCCGCCCGCCCGCACAGGTCGCTCCAGCTCCCTCCGGACGAGGCGCGGACAGACAGCCGGACGGAGGCGCCCGCGCGCCCGCGCGCGCCCGCCGCTCCCTGCCCCCGCCGCCCGCGCCCCGCGCGCCCCGGGACCCCCGGGCCTGCTCCGTGGGGCTCCCCGCCTCCACCGCTGCGGGGGGTAAACTGAGGCCCGTTGGGGGCGGGGAGGGGCTCCCCCCAGGCGGGGCCCAGCGGCCCGCATGCAGATCGCATGCAGATCAGCCATCGCTTACACACACGCACGCACGCGCACGCACGCGCACGCACGCACGCACATACACACACGCATGCACATACACGCACATGCACACACACACATACACACGCATGCACACGCACATACACACACGCACACACACACACACATACGCACATGCACGCACATACACACACGCACACACATACACGCACACACACACGCACACACATACACATACGCACACGCACGCACATACACACACGCACACACATACACGCGCACACACACACGCACGCACACATACACACACGCACATATGCACGCGCACGCACGCATGCGCCCCGCATGTTTGAAATCATAACTAGGTGCTGGAACCTGGGTAGGTGGGGCAGAGCCCTCCCCCTCCCTCCCCTCCCCCTCCCCTCCCCCTCTCTCCCTCCCCCTCTCCCCCCTCCCTCCCTCCCCCTCCCCTTCTCCCTCCCCTTTCCCTCCCCTCCCCCTCTCCCTCCCCTCCCCCTCCCTCCCCTTCTCCCTCCCCCTCCCCACCCCCTCTCCCTCCCTCCTCCTCTCCCTCTCCTCCTTCCCCCTTCCCCCTGCTCTTCTCCATTTTCTCCTTCCTTTTGTACTAGGCTCCCAGCCCCAGGCGCCCATGAAGGCCAGAGGAGGCTTCCAGCGGCCAGTCCTCCCGGCAGGGAGGCCGCGGCCTTGGCCCGAGGGCCCACAGCCACTGCAGGACCCTGAGTGAGGGGCAGCACCCCTAGCCAGCAGCGGCCGCGTCCCCACAGCGCGGGCCTGAGCGGGCCCAAGGAAGCCCCTCGCCACGCTGGCCTTGAGCGGTGGCCACCACCGGAGCGTGGACGGCGGAGGAGACCCCCCTCCCCGTCCCCTGGTCCCCAGTCAACATGCTCCCGGAATCCCGGCCGCAGACACTGCGCTCCTACCTGCTCCCTTTAGCAAACTCCTATTCATCTTTCAAAGCCCTAGTTTCCCTGTCCCTTGCGTACACCCTTCCCAGATCCTCCAAGGAGAGCTTCCATTTTGCTCTGGACTCCTCCTTCCTGGCCCCTTCAACCCTGACACCTGCAGCGGGGTGTCCCCTCCAGTCTGCCACGTGTCTGAACCCCAGGGCCAAAGACCTTGTGCGTGAATAAAACACGAACTGGTTTCGAGCGCCAGCTCCGTGACTTGGCTTCCCTCTTTTCTCCTCCTTTCAAACACCCAGACTCCCGTCAGCTCCTCGGGGGACAAGGCTGGGGAACCGAGGGCGCCACCCACTTCCCCACCCCACCCCAGGCCCTCCCAGGCACCCCGCTCCACTCCCCCCCCCAGCCTGTCTGGGGTGAGAAGTTTCGGGTGAGGCTTGCCCCCCCCCTCCCTGTGGGGCCCAGAGGCCTCTGGGAGCGGCCGCCGCCCCGCCCCCCAGCCCCCCCCAACCTGAGGCCAGAGGATTTTTCCTGGGGGACAAATCCACCCCACTTCGCCCTCACTCTCTCCCTCCCTCTCCCCATTCACACATTCAGCGGTTGGAGACAGACAGAGAGACAGACAGACAGACCTCTGGCCCTGGGGACCGCAGTCGGCCTTGTGGCCAGTGCTCTGGCTGTCCGTCCATCCGTCTGTTTCGCTAATGATGTCCCTTTGTGTCTCTAGGTTTGTATCCTTCTTCCCTCCCTGCTCCCCCATCAAGATAAGCCCCCATTTCTCCCCATGCCACCCCCAACTTCCCCAAGGAAGTGGGGGGGGAGGGCCGGGCCGGGCGGGGAAGGGTGTGAGTTCATCGGGGCTGAACTTGCTGCCCAGCTCTCAGGCCACAGCTCCACTGGCTTGTAGTGGTTCCTGGGAGATGAAGGCCACGGAGGAAAAGAGCAGGGTGAGACCAGCACACAAAAGCGGGGGAGAGGCCCTGCCAGGGGTCAGGCCTCCCACTCCCGCCAGTGCAGGATGAAAGGCCAGGGAAGGGCTCACCTTGGGCAGAGGCCGCATGTGCAAAGGCCCTGAGGCTCCCTCACCCACCAGACGCCAAGGAGTTGTGGAGCCCAGAGAAAAGCTGTGAGGTATAGGGCAAGAGGGGAGAGGGTGCCTGCCGTCAGAGGTGAGCGATTGCCGCCCCCAGCACCCCAATTTCCTCAAGAGAACAAGCCAGGTGCCTGTGGCTCACGCCTGTAATCCTAGCTACTCAGGAGGCTGAAATCTGAGAGTTGGCGGTTCAAAGCCAACCAAGGTAGGAAAATTCGGGAGATTCATCTCCAAGAAACCACCAGAAAACCGGAAGTGGCGCTGTGGCTCAAGCAAGCCTTGAGTAAAAAGAGCTCAGGGACAACTCCTAGGCCCTGACTTTGAGCCCCAGAACTGGCACACACACACAACTTACTTTCCAGTAGTGAGAACTCACAGAACAAACTTGAGCCCCTGGCTAGGTGTGAGTGTGAGGAGGTGAGAGGAAGAGAGAGAGGACAGCATAGGAAATGTGAGGGAGAGCAGTCCTGGCAGAGGCCCTGGCACATGCAAAGGTCCTGGGGCAGGGTAGAACCTGACCTGTGGAGCAAGGAGGCAGGCAATTCTCCTGACAGGAGAAGGGGTCACCAAATTCAGCCATCAAGACAAATACTCTGCTAATCCAACATTGCAAAACAAAGACACACACGGGTGGCAAAACACATCTACAGTGAAGAAGCAGGCCCGAGGCGCTGCGAAGCCTTGGATGGCTGCAGCCGGGGCGTAATCAGCCCCTCAGGATTAATTACCGGGCTCAGGAACAAGACTGAGAAATCTATTATCAGCTCCGGGTTTGTGTCAATGAAGCCATTCTTTCTCTGTAAACCAAATCCTCCTCTTCCTTGTTTTCTAGCAAAACAAATTTACTTAAAAAATAAACAAAGTACCTAGCCAGGCGCCAACGGCTCACGCCTGCAATCCCAGTGCCTTGAGAGGCTGAGATCTGAGGATGGAGGTTCAAAGCCAGCCCTGGCAGGAAAGTCCATGAGACACTGATCTCCAATAAACCACCGGAAAACCGGAAGTGGTGCTGTGGTTCAAGTGGTAGGGCACTTGCCTTGAGCTGAAGAGCTGAGGGACAGCGCCCAGGCCCAGAGTTCAAATCCAACGACCCCTCCCTCCACCCCCTCCCCCCCCACACGAGAGAAACCCAGACACAGGTACTGAACGCAGGGTTCAAGCCGTTGATGGGAGCCACGTAGCACTGAGGCCTGGTCTGCCCAGGGCCTTGTGGTCCCAGGACAGCAGCACCTCTGAGCACTGCGTAGACACCGAGTGTTTGCACACTGTCTTTCGCTTCTCTCTTCCTGGGGGCTGGGATTACAGGAGTCATCTCCGTGCTCGCCACAGTGGGAGAGGAGTTGGGAATGTCGCCCTGGGCAGCCTGACACGCTCCATGCCAGTCACGCCAGATTCCGCCTACATCCAGACTTGGTGTTTTTGTTTGTCTGTTTGTTTGTTTGTCCTGGGGCTTGAACTCTGCGCCTGGGCGCTGTCCCTCAGCTCTTCAGCTCAAGGCTGGCGCTCTACCACTTGAACCACAGCGCCACTTCTGGTTTTCTGGCGGTTGATTGGAGATAAGAGTCTCTGGGACTTTCCTGCCTGGGCTGGCTTTGAACCGTGATCCTCAGCTCTCAGCCTCTGAGTAGCTAGGATGACAGGCGTGAGCCACAGAGCCCAGCCTTTTTTCTTTATTTTTTGCTTTCTGACTCTGGTGTTTGCCTGGCTGTCCCCGCCTCCCTGGGAACATGGCCGCTGTGAATCGCCCTTTGTCTTCTAGTGGGGAGCGCATCCACAGGAGTCTTGGTGGACCCCCAAATCTGAGCCCCCCTCCCCATCCCCGGGTCCCTTTCCCCAGCCCGCTTGCTCTCCCTGGCCAGGTTTCCTGGAGCCAGGCCACTCTCGGGGCTGGGTGTCTGCACCCCAAGTGTCCTGTGGGACCCCCTACTCCAGCCTGGGGTGCTGGGGCTGGGGGTCGGGGGGGGGGGCTGTGAGAAAAGACACAGCCTGGAGTCTGAAATGTTTGCAAATAGACACTTCCCAGCTGCGCCCCCCACTGCACCCCATTTTACCCTGGGTGTGAGAGCCAGCACAGGCCTGGAGGGCCTCCCCCTCTGCGCACCGGGCCCCCAAGGGGCAGATGGGGAAACTGAGCCACCAAGCTGCAACATGGCACAGTCTGCACAGCTTGCCGGGAGCCTAGTGGAGCAGGGTGGATTCTCAGGGTGCTGTGGGAGCTGTTGGGGCTGGTGACGGGCACGGTGGGGGGTCCCCTCTCTCTCTGTGGGGTCCTGCCCCTCCCCCAGCCTTCTGTCGCTGCCTGGAATCACAGGACCTCAGGGCTCGGGACCTCAGCTCCTGTGCATCCTGCTGGGAGGGGTGAGGGGCTGGGGCAGGGGACCCCACTTTTGCCGGTTCTGTGAGTCCCAGAAGTGAGCCGCAGCGTGTGGGGTCAGGCGGTGGGGGGTTGACCTGTAGGACCCCCATGCTCCCCCGACTCAGCTCAGGAAGGTGAGGCCGGCCGGGGCGGGGACAGCCAGGAGGGACAGCCGGGGACAGGCAGCCTGGGACTCTGGGACGTCCAGCCGGCTCCAGGCCGGTGCAGCCCACGCCACCGACCCACGCGGCCCTCACTGAGGCCCACACCGGCCTCAGTGCTCTCCCGTGTGCCTGTGCCCAGCACAGAGACACACCCATATTTCAAAGAACCCCAGGGGTCAGGCAAAGCCGGGCGGGCCGGGCATGGTAGCGCACACCTGTAATCCCAGCACTGTGGAGACTGAGGCCCAGACACAGGACGATTCCCCGCCCCCCCCCCCCCCCCCCCCCGCCCCCAGGGTGGACGGGAGGAGCAGGAGCTCAGCCTCTTGGCCAGCTGGGGGCAGGGCCGGGCCGCGGCGGTGGCAGCGACCAGGCCCCAGCGGTGCTCCGAGCGTTTCCATGGCAGCAGTGATGAGGCGTCCCGAGGAGCCCGGCTAAAAATAGCCGAGCCACGCCGGCCTCATTAGCTGCCGGCTCCTGGCTGCCAGGTGCCCGCTCCCTCCTCCTCCCGCCCGCCCTCCCGCCTCCCCCACGCGGCCCACCCGCTGCCCCCCCCAGCCCCATGCCCGTCTCCCTGGAGCCTGTCGGTCAGCTCGGCTCCTCCGGAGGCTGAGATGGGAGGATTCTGGTTCAAAGCCAGCCCGGGCAGGAAAGTCCGTGAGACTCTCCAATAAACCACCAGAAAGCCCAAAGTGGCACTGTGGCTCAAGGGGTAGAGCGCTTGCCTTGAGCTGAAGAACTGAGTGACAGCGCCCAGGTCCTGAGTTCAAGCCCCACAACCAACAAAACAAGCCACAAAAAAATGGCAATTAAATCACTGCACAGTGCAGGCCAGTTTGCAGTCACGGAGTCTGGGTTTCTGAGCTCAGGCTGCATGGGATAACAGCTCCAAAACCCACCCAGCATCATGACCCATCCTTTGGCCTCTGCCTGCTCAACCCCAACTTCTGCCTTCCAGCACAAAATGGCTGCCCAACTCCTGCCCTCACAGCCCATTCTTTCAGAAGGGGGAGGAAGGGGAGAAGAAGGAGGTTTGTAGGAGGTGTGTGCCCCACGTCTACGGTCCAGCAAGTGTCAAGCAGTGTCCTCACTGGGAGGCTGGGGAAGCAGGAGGTAGATACAGCTTTGGGGGTGTTTGTCACCATTTTAGTGATGGCAACAATGGGGTGACTCTTCTCCTTGTTCTTGGTCAGCCAGAATGTAAACATGACAGAAACTAACAGCTTTGTGCCGCTCACAGGACCCTGCAGCCCGTGCCCCATCCCAGGTCCCATCCCTGCCCCAGGACCTTTGCGTGTGCCCAGCCTTCCACCTGGAAATCCTCTTCCTGCACAGTTCTCCATGGCTGTCTGCCTGGCCTGCCCCAGTGCCCCCTGGTGGAAAATCCCCACCTTCTCCCTCTATCCCTGCTTCCTGCCCATTCTGCCTCCCGCCCTCCCCTCCACCACACACACACACACACACACACACACACACACACACACACACACACTCAGGCATACTGTAAAACCCTGCCTGCTCCATTGATTTAGGGGTGCTTGGGCCCCAGAGATGGGTGGTTTGTCAGGATGCGAATTTCTGCCTTCATTTATTTTATTTTTTAATTCTCACTCGATCTCTGGTGCCCAGAACAGAGCTTGGCCCGCAG